AGATATTATAGACTGTTCCATGCTATTGATTTGAAGCCAAACTATTCTTGACCAGTTGGCTAAGCAAAAATAACCAATTATCCAACATTTTGTGAACACTACTATTGACAAAACCCTGAGGAGCACTGAAATAGGAACAAAGCAATGCCAAAAAGAACAAGGAAGACAGGTTCTCTGACCTCATGCTTTACCTCCTAGGTAACTCAGAAAACTGTCTTGGATTTTCCTGTTCCTCCTAAGTATCCAAGCAGTAAAGCCTCAGTTCTTACATAATTTCAAGTATTGACAGCTCAACATCCTAAAATAACTGGCAAAGTTATAATTTTAATTGAAATATATTTTGTATTTCCTTATGAGTTTGAGGACCACATATGAGTATTCCCAATTCTATGATGTTTATCAAATCCTCAAATGGATTAAAAAAATATATTCAATTTGAAATTTATCTCATGTGGCAAACAAAAATTGGATTCCAAGTGTTCTGTTGTCATTTTCTCTCAAATATCTGTCTGTCTGTCTATCTACCTATAAAAAGATAAAGAACTGCTCTATTAATTGATAGAAAAAGAAAAGAGAAAAGTATCTAAAATAATTAATATTGAAGTAGTTGGGTAACATTTTCGTCCACTAATGAGTCTGCACGATTGAACCATCATCCAAAAATGTAGAGAAATACCTCATTACTTTTAAGAAGAAGAAATTAAAGATAAGAGTCTAAAATAGGTAATCCAGTGAGTAATATAAGACTTTAATCTCAGTCTATGAATAGGGTTTTATCACAAGTTGCACTGCATAAGTACAATCAGTACGTATATTGGAACTTTAAGAAACAAAGGACTGAAAAGCCCCTGGGACCACTACCCTTAAATTTTTCATCTGTTTTAAGAAAATGCTTGTGGAAGAGAAGCTCTCACTCACTAATCTTTAGCTTAGTGCCTCATCCTTTGGTGGTTGAGGGAACTGAGGTGGTTTTTTTAAAAAAAAATAGTTATAGAATCTTCTTCATATATTATCACAACAAAAGAATTATACAGAAAATAATTGCCAAATATTTCTTTAAGACCAATAGCATTTTAAAGAAAATTGATATTTTCTCATTTTGAAGAATACAATCTTAAAGTATCTGTTGGAGTCCATATATATATATATATATATATATATAATTATATATATATTGAAGTTTACTCAGATTCTATTTCCCCATCTACAAATGGAAGAGATCACTGCACTAAAAAGAGATCATCTATGTAATGCATTTATCAGAGTGCTTGCTGCAGAGTACTGTGTATGATCAAATGTCTATTAAGGAAATGAACATTACATGCCTATATTTATACCTTGGTGATGATTATGTACATATATATGTGTGTGTAAGTGTGTCATGTATACGTATGTTATTGACTTTATATATCTACTCCCATTGCTCTTGTTCATGTGTAGTTTCCAAATAATTTGAGGGATATGTGTATGATTTTTTTCAATTTATTTTTTTCAATCCATCAAACTTAAGGAATCAGAAAATTTACACATTCAAACTGACTAAACGATAAACTCTGAGATGATTATAACTGTCACGACCTGTTACATTTTGTAGACCAGCCAGTGAGCCAATGACTCATCTCAAAGTAAAGAGCCCCTGGTTCATGGAAGCATTACTGAACAGTGACTGCAGTCCAAAATGAAAGCCAAATTTATCCCTGGTTAATCTGAGACTTTTTGAAGAAAGTTTGTATTTGTGGTGAGATAAAACTAATCAGGCAACATTGAATGTGTCCCTAAATTCGTTATCACTAGCCCAACTCTCTTGCATGGTGTTCCTGGATCTCTTGCTTTTCCTTTAATGCTTAGCTCCACCGCACTTGGGATAGGCAGTCTTTACCAGTGATGTGAGCCCAAGAGCCACTCAATCATTCAACCTGTAAATACGCAAAATGAGATAACAGCCATGCATGGGGGAGAGGTATGTGCTCTTGATATTCCCAATCTGAACTCTTTCCCCCTTTTAGATGTATTATTATTTTTTTAAATATTCACTTCTATAATACTTGCCATATACTAACTTGTGACCCATTTAACACAACAGGAAAATAACAACTGGGGCTGACCAGAAATTGAATCCAACCTACAGAGCTGGGGAGGAGCCCAGACTGTGGCCAGAATGTGGTCTGCAAGGGCAGGCACCAGGCCAGACAGGACCAATCAGGAATTGGAAGATCCAAACAGATGCAGTATAGGAGTCTTCCCAGAAAGAAAAAGCATCAGCTTCCCAACTGCCATGTGCAATGAAGTCAAAGTCAAGCTCTCTTTTCTGCCTTCACTCCCTTTATTTCAGTTAGGACTACAGTATCCCAGTAAATGTGTAATATCCTAAACTAACTTTTCATCTGGAGTGAATAAATGACATTTGTGTGAAAGGTTCATATATGCTCACAGTACCAATACGCTTTACTTACAAAACTGTAGGTAGTAAGTATAAATATCAAAATTTCTTTCCTGAAAATGTATTAGAAATAAATGTATCCTGAAAATGATTCTGAACCTCTGCCAGCTGTTTTGGTTCAGTTTTAAATTCAATAGCAATGTCCTAGACTATTTAGACCTCATTAACGGACCCAGGAGTGCATTAACTTTGTAAGTGGCTAATTGGTATTTATTCCTTTTCACATGATATTTTAAACAGATTGACAAGGAGCAGTATGATAAAATACTCGGCCTCATTGAGAGTGGGAAGAAACAAGGAGCCAAACTGGAATTGGGCGGAGGCCCCTGGGGGAACAAAGGCTACTTCATCCAGCCCACAGTTTTCTCCAATGTGACAGATGAGATGCGCATTGCCAAAGAGGAGGTAAAGGCTCATTCCTCTCTGCTGTCTTTGTTTCCCTGTGTTTTCTCTCTACCTATGAGTCCTATCTGCCCCCTTACTATTATCAGCTCTTGAACATCTTTCTCAGCAAACGTTACCCTTTGTTTCTGCTACTGATGAAGGTTTAAATTATATAGGACTAAGACTAAAAAATAGCAAGGGATCCACTGGTCCTGCCAAGAATGTCCAGCCAAACACAGGCTTGGGTGCTCAACAATCTTCGGGGATTTGCTTCACAGCCGTGAAGTCATGGAAAAAAACCCTGTCATTTGTGGTAACACGAATCAGCCTGGAGGACATGTTCAGTGATGGGCGTCAGGCACAGAAAGACAAATAGTGAATAATTCTCAACTGTTGGTAGAATCTGAAAGACTCAAACTCATAGAAGGCAGAGAGTGAAATGGAGGTTAGCAGTGGCTTTGTGGGGAGGTGGGGATAAGGATCAGAGAGATGCTGGTCAAAGGACACAAAGTGTCTCTCATACAGGAGGAGATCATTTGAGAGATCTATTATACAATAGGATGACTATAGTACCATACGTTCTCCTCACCAAAATAGATAAATGCTTAAATCCTGCCTATTGGTGCCATATTTGCTTTTTGGCTTTTTTGTGCATAAAAGCCATCCACACATTTGAAAATAACTTTCCTATACCACTTCATTCCCCTTATATGACTATGGCCCATAATTTTCCATGGTGAGGATTCGTAACTTTGTACACAAGTATAAAAATAGGGTATTCTTTACATATGTTTTTTATATATATATATATATATAATTTGTGTGAAAGATTCATATGTGCTCACAGTAACAATATGCTTTACTTTCAAAACTATAAGTATATAGATAGATAGATTAATAGATAGACACACATTTAACTACTACACACAAAATTAAGAAGTCTAACACCTGAAAAAATCTGGAGTCAAGAGCACATGAAGATTGGGAAATATGTAACAGATGAGTACTTATAGTATTACATACAACATATATACTTATATGGTTAATATACATAGCTATACTGTACAACATGTTGCATACTATAGTTAAATATTTGATGAGCATGAACTAATAACGTCAACAAAATGTTATCCAGGCATATGACACAAAAACAAGGAAGAGCTAGTTTGCATTTAGAAATGGTAAATAATCTCCTTCATACACAGTGAGGGTTTTTAGTAGTGCAGAGATAGGTGCACCGCCTTTGACAATGAAATTGCTGGGTCACACACGGCAATAAAAAGACGTTGATAGCTCAAAGGTACTGAAGCATAATCCCTTCAGTCATTTCTCCTTCATGTCCGTGCTATGACAGAGAATCTGAGGTTATTTTCTATACCACACAAATTATCTTGAAACAAAGTAGAAAAGCCTTTAGTCAGACTTGCAAACAAATGAAATAAATTGGAAAAACAGAAAATAAAAGCCAGTGTGTACGGATGATCAAACATACTTAGTTTTTCCACTTCAAATCCACTGAATTATAATTTTTGTATTTATTGATAAAATCTTGTCTGATCACAGCTGTCATTCTTGCATGTCTTGATTAATATCAGATAGAAATGTCTACTGGAATATTCTTCTATCAAGGAGAAGATATGCTGTGTTCCTATGATAAATGTAGTAGAATAGCTAGCTCACTTCTTCAAAGTGGCAGCCTGAAGCTATATACTATGTTAGGTTAAAATTATGTAAAATATGAGCACATTTATTGCAATAGCTGCCCTATTCTGAAGTCACAATGTGGTGATTAGATTTAAAACTTTGGTCTCACATTCAGACTCTCCTGAACCATAGCCCCTAACCCTCTACTTTGTAAATCAGTGGTAAACACCAAAAAAGCCATTTGACATTTCAGAGTTTTGCCTATCCTGATTCACATGCGCCAGGAAATTCTGGTAGCACTCAGAGGAGCCCTCCTTCCCTTCATTTCAGTTAAAGTATAATTGAAATTTTAATGTTTAATTTGAAGAAAAAATCAGTTGTTTCGTTCCTGAGAGTGAAACACAAAATGAGTTGAGTTTGGGCTATGCTGAGTCTAGTAAAAGTGATGAGCGAGTAAGACTGGAAAAAACAAATTGTGATTTTGATGTCCAGTCCTGTGATTATAACCATTGCCATGAACTCATCTTTTGGTTAGTACAAGGTGTTCAGGACTTATGTTCCTGGAGAAATCAGCCACTCTGTTTAGCATATGTAAGTTACAGAGTAGAATCTGATGACAGAATACAACCCTGAATAAAAATCTATATTGTTTTACCTAACTGGGCTAATTATGAAAAGATCCAAGTACAATAGAACACGTGATATTTCAGTCAATGGTACAGTGATATTTAAAAGAAGAATATTATGAATGATTATCTATTCACTTATCCAATAGAGCAAGCATTGCTTTTTGGACTCACTCTTACATGTAGTAACTTTTAAGATGAAGAAAACTAGGGAGAAAATTTTAAATATTTCTAAAGAAATTCTCAAGTTAGTGATTTGATGCTCAGTAAGTGCTTAGAAGCTTAATTCCAACATCTAGAAAATAAACAGTTTTATTTATATGTACCCTACCTTGATCCAAAGAGAAAATTTTCCTAATTTTATTGGCAGATTTTAGGTATGCAATATAATGACATTCTCCATTGGAAATTTGTACTTTTCCATAATTTATCTTGGTTCTTATTTTTTCCCCCTTCCCCTGCCCTCCCTTCAACCCCTCCACCCCTCCCTATTTACAAAGACTTTGTTTCCATTTTTTTTCTCATATTAATTCCATTCCCTCCTCTCCTTTCCCCAACTCCTCCCAATTCCCCTTCCCCTTTGGACCTTTTCTTCCTGTTTCACATTATTTAGTATGCCTTTTTATCCTTATTTACACTTTCAGTTTCTCACACCAGAAAAACTATTCAGTATTTACATATGCCTGTCCTATTTATTTCACTTAAGAGGATCACCTCAATGCACATTCATTTAGCTATAAATGTCTCTAATTTATCATTCTTTATGGCTGAGTAGTAATCCATTTTGTAAAAAGAAAAACATATTTTCTTTATCCAGTCTCCAGTTGTTGGGCAATTGGGCTGTTTCCAAGTTTTAGTTATTACCAACTGTGCTCCTATGAACATAGGTGCACATATATCACTGTTGTATGATTCTTTTAATTGTTTTGGGAAGATAGCCAGTAAGGGAATAGCTGGGTCAAATGGGACATCTAATCCTAGTTTTTGAGGTACCTCCATACTGACTTCCACAGTGGTTGCACCACTCTGCATTCCAAACAACAGTAGAGTAGGGTTCCTTTTTCTCCACAGCTATGCCAGCATTTGTTATTGGTTGATTTCATGATAATGGTCATTCTTGCTGTGGTGAGGTAGAATCTCAGTGTTGTTTTCATTTGCATCTCTCAAATGACTAGTGAGGTTGGACATTTTTTAATATGTTTATTTGCTAATTCTACTTCTTTGCGAAATGTTTTTTCATATCAGATGCTGATTTTTGGACTGGATCTTTAAATTTGGGAGGTCTACTTTTTTTTAAGTGCTTTATATATTTGAGATAGTAGACCTTTGTCTGAGGAACAGCAGGTGAAAATTTTTTCACACATTGTGGGTTGTCCCTTCATGCTGTTGGTGGTTTCTCTTGCTGTGCTGAAGCTTTTGAGTAAGAAGAGATCCCACTTGTTGATTCTTTGTGGTAGTTCACATGCAACTGAGGTTTTGTTCATGAAATCATTTCCTATGCCAAAGTCTTCAAGCGTTCTGCCTAACCTCTCTTCCAGATGGTTTACTGTTTCTGTTTTAATATTTAGATCTTTAATCCATTTCGATTGTAGTTTAGTGCATGGTGAGAGGAATGGGTCTAGTTTTATTCTTTGGCAATTTGAAACCCAATGTTTCCAGCACCATTTATTAAAGATGCTATCTTTCTTCCAGTGAGGGTGTTTGGCTCCTTTGTCAAAGACGAGGTGGCTGAATATGTCTGAAGTTGTTTCTGCATCTTTTAATGTGTTTCACTGGTCCTCAGGCCTGTTTGTTTGCCAGTACCATGATGTTTTTATCACAGTAGTTTTGCAGTATAGTTTTAAATTGGGGATTGTGATACCTCCCCCCTACCTTGTCTTTATTGCTTAGAATTGCTTTAGCTATTCTAGATCACTTTGGGTTTCAAATGAATTTTTGGATTGCCTTCTCAAGGTCTGTGAAGTATGCTGTTAGAATTTGAATTAGGATTGCATTAAATCTCTATAGCAGTTTTGGAAGTAAGAGCATTTTCGCTATATTGGTTCTTCCTACCGAGGAGCAAGTGATGTCTTTCCATTTTCTGATATCCTCTTCAATTTCTTTTTTCATAGTGCTATAGTTTTCAGAGTAGAAGTCTTTGCTTACTTTCATTAAGATGATTCTTAAGTATTTCTTTTTTTGGATGGTATTGTGAAGGGAGTTGTGACTTCAGTTCCTCTTTCAGTGAGTCTGTTTTTGCGTACAGGAAATTTATTGATTTTTGTGTGTTCACCTTGTATCCAGCTACTCTACTGAATTTGGTTATTAAGTCTAGAAGACTTTTGGTGGAGTTATTCGGGTCTTCTATATAGAGTATCATGTCATCTGCAAATAATGACAATTTAATTTCTTCATTTCCTATCTTTATTCTTTTTATTTCTTTCTCTTGTCTAATTGCTGTGGCTAATGTTTCCAAAACTATATCGAACAGGGGTGGTGATAGTGGACATCTTAGACTTGTTCCTGATTTTAGTGTGAAGGGTTTCAGTTTTTGACCATTAAGTGTGATATTGGCTGTTGGTTTTTCATAGATGGCTTTTATCAGGTTGAGATAGAAATATCTGTTCTAATTTTCTGTGCAGTTTTTATCATGAATGCATGTTGGATTTTGTGGAGTGCTTTTTCTGCATCTATTGAGGTGATCATTTGGTTTTGTCCTTGGCTCTGTTAATATAGTGTATTACATTTATTGATTTACATATGTTGAATCATCCTTGCATCCCTAGAATGAATTTGACTTGGTCAGGGTATATGATCTTCTTGATGACCCTCTGTATTCTGTTTGCCAGTATCTTATTGAAGATTTTTGAGTCTATGTTCATTAGGGTGACTGCCCTGTAGTTCTCTTTTTTGGTTGGGTCTTTCACTGCTTTTGGAATCAAAGTAATGCTTGCTTCCAGGAATGAATTTGAGAGTATTGCTTTCCTTTCAATTTCATTAAAGAGTTTGAGAAGTAGTAGCATTAGCTCTTCCCTGAGTTTGTTGTAGAATTCAGCCGTGAAGCCATCAGGACCTGGGCTTTGCTTTATAGATAAATTTTTAACTATGTTTTCAATTTCACTGACTGAAATTGGGATTTTTAAAATTTTTATATCTTCTCTGTTCAATTTTGGTAATTCATATGTATCTAGGAATCTGTCCATTTCTTCTGTGTTTTCCATTTTATTTGTGTATAAGTTCTTGAAGTTGGATCTGTTGTGATTTCACCCTTTTTATTCCTAATTGAATGGATTTGAGCCTTTTCTTTTTTTTTTATAAGGTTGGCTAAGGGTTTGTCAATTTTATTTATTCTTTCAAAAAAACAATTCTATTCATTGATTTTTTTATATTGTTCTCTTAGTCTCCATTACATTGATTTCTGCTCTGATCATTATAATTTCCTCCCTTGTACAAGCTTTGGTTTTGTCTTACTCTTCTTTTTCTAGGAGCTTGAGGTTCAGCATTAGGTTGTTTATTTGGGCTAGCTCTGTTTTCCTAGTATGGGCATTCACTGCTATGAATTTCTCTCCTAGTGCTGCTTTCATTTTGTCCTATAGATTTCTCTATGTTGTACTGCCATTTTCATTTAATTGCAGAAACTTTCTGCTTTCTTCTTTAATTTTCTCTGTCATAGATTGGTAGTTCAGAAGAGTGTTATTCAATTTCCTTTATTTTTGTGTAATTCTTTCAGTTTCTAATCTTATTGATCTCCAATTTAACTGCCCTGTGGTCTGATAATATACATGAGATAATTTCCATTCCTTTGCATTTACTTAAACATGTTCTATGAGCTAGAATGTGGTCTATTTTGGAGAATGACCCCTGTGCACCTACAAAGAATGTGTATTTTGATTTTGTGGAATGGAACACTCTGTAGACATCAATTAAGTCCATTTGTTCAAAAGTTTGATTCAATTGTAGTATTTCCTTGTTGATTTTTTGTCTAGATGATCTATTTGTGACAGTGGGGTATTAAGGTCCCCCACTACAGCTGTATTAGTGGTGATTTGGTTTTTCAAGTCCATTAATATTTGTTTTATATAGTTGGGTGCACTAATATTTGGTGCATATATATTTAAGATTGTCATCTTGGAATATTCCTCTTGGACTATTCCTCTTGGATTATTCCCTTTACCAGGACGTAATGACCTTCTTTGTCTCTCTTAATTAGTTTTGGTTTGAAATCTAGATTGTCTGCCAATAAGATAGATACTCCTGCTTTTTTGTGTGTTCCTGTTACATGGAATATTGTTTTCTACCCTTGAGCTTTTAGTCTATGAGTTTATTTTTGGCTTAGTGTGATTCTTGTATGCAGCATATTGTTGGATCTTGTTCCTTGACACATTCTTCCAGTCTATTTCTTTTGATTTGTGAATGGAGACCATTAACATTGATGGTTGTAACTGATATGTATTGACTTACCCATCTCATGACTTCTCCTTTTTGTTAGCTTCTCTACCCTTGTACTTAATTTCTTGTAATGAATGCCTGATGGATTTATTCTGCTAGGCTTCCTTGGCTTTTGACTTTTATTGTCTTTTCCCAGGATATTGTCTAAAATTTTTTGGAGTGCTGGTTTGGTATTCATGAAGCTCCTCAGGTGCTCTTTGTCATGAAAGTATCTTATTTCTCCATCAATTTTAAAAGATAGTTTTGCAGGGGACAGTAATCTGGGTTGGAGGTCTTTTTCTTTTAGGGCATGAAATACTTCACTCCAGGCTCTTCTTCCCTTGAAGGTTTGTGTTGAGAACTGCTGTGGTTCTGATGGGCTTTTCTTTGTATGTGATTTGTTTCTTTTCTCTAACTTCTTATAGAATTTTATTCTTCTGTTGGGTTTCTGGAATCTTAACTGTTTCATGCCTAGATGTAGATTTTTTATCTGAGCTAGTTGGAGTCCTATATGCCTCATTTATCTGTATATCAAGTTCTTTTCCCTTGCTTGGGAAGTTTTCTGCCATTACGTCTGTGAACAGCTTTTCTATGTCATCTGCACTCTCTCCTGTTTCTTCATTAACTCTAATCAATCTTATGTTATTCTACTTTGCATCATCTAGCAGTTGCCAGATTGATTTCTCATGGTCCCTTACTATTTTAAAAAAGTTTTTCTTTTTCGAGGTCTAAATTACTAATTACTAAATTACTAACTGCAATCCTATCTTCTATATCTGATATTCTTTCCTCACATTGGCTCATTCTGTTGCCTAAACTTTCAGTGGAATTTTTAATCTTCTGGATATCTGTTTGCAGCTGTTTTATGTATTCCATTTGTTTCCTTTGCTGGGATACCATCATGTTACTCAGCTACTGTATTTTTTATCTTTGTCTGCTCTAGAATTATTAATCATATCTTGCACTATGAACAAAATCTCTGTTGTTATCTGAGAAATTATGTCTGACTTTATTGTTTGCAGATTTTCTTTTGTTACCCAGGGAGTCTAGGTTGTTGAGTATCAGGCTGTTCCACCTCATTGCCCTTTGGGGTTGCCTTACATGATCTGAAAGTCTGGTTTTGAGACGTTTTTTGGTGTCTTCTCATTTCAAAAGATCCAGCCTGCTTTGCCTTTGTGGAGGCAATTTTTGCTCACCCAGTGGCCTACAATTCTCAGCAAACCACCTAGAGGGCTTTTCTCTGCTGCTCACCACTGTGTTAATTCCTGGGTTCAGAATAGTGGCCTTCTGGAGCCCTGTGCTGCCTTCTTGTCCAGTTGGGGTTATGGATGGGCCCTGTGGATACTTGGGTTGGTATCTGGGTGTGCCACTGGCTGGGGCCTGCCCACTGCACAGTTGTTTTCCGGGAGGTCCTTTGCTTGGAGGCTGTGCACCCAAGTTGCTGATGTGTGGGCAGGCTTCTTGCTGAGATCTACATGCACTTAGAGATGGAATCTGGTTGGGCCTCTGGCTGTTGCTGGGTGCCTATGCAGCACTTTTCCAGGCAGGCATTTGGCTGGGGACTGTGGGCCCAAGCTGCCAGTGTCTGGGCAAGGTCTTTCCTGGAACCTGCACACAACCATGCAGCTCTGGTGTACATGGGCTTTTTGCTGGAATTTGTGCATGCTTACCCATATCCAGAGATAATTTAACTCATGAATGTTATCTACGTTCGTCTACCATTTCTGCACCCTTTATTTTGGTTTGTACACACAGAATCAAGATGAGAAAGAAAATATTATCTATTTCACAGTAGTGTGTAAACAAAAATTAAACTACACTATCTTTAAAATATTTGATTTTAACCTATTTTTTTATTTCACTCATCCTTGGGGTATAGATATTTGGACCAGTGCAACAAATCATGAAGTTTAAAACTTTAGATGAAGTGATCAAGAGAGCAAACAATACGACCTATGGCTTAGCAGCAGGAATCTTTACCAAAGACCTTGACAAAGCAGTGACAGTCTCCTCTGCTCTGCAGGCGGGGACAGTGTGGTAAGTCAAATGATTGGCTGTAATCCGTGCCTTTTCAGTGTTAGCTATATCAACAAATTAACTCAAACTTTAAAATTTAGAATTGTATGGCCTGCTAGAGAAGTAGAAAAAGACAAAAACAAAAAACAACCCCTTCCCATGTAAACAAAACCCCCAATTGCTATATTGGAAAAACTTTAGAGGAATAATTTATTTAACTCTTTCCAGTACTTTGAGACTACTAGTCAAAGTATTTTATGGATGTTTGACTTACACAATATAAGTATTACTACATAGTTTCTAGCACTATACAGTGTACAAAGAAAAGAAAAGAAAAATTTGTGTTTTAAGTAGTTTTAAATTAGTTGAGACAGTGCTTATTTGGTACCCATGCAAACATTTAATTCTTATTTCAGATTCTTACTCTAGAATCATTAGAGATGTCTAAAGATCATAATTTAGGAGAATGCATTGGATTTTTTGGAACACTTCCTTTATCTTTGAACTTTTTTCTTTCTTCCATAGTTGAATGTAGAAGATGTAAATTCTAAGGCTCTGCCTCTCAAACTGTTGCCTCCTCTGCCTAGTCCCCAGTCCCTGGTCTGCTTTCTCATTACTTTTTGTTATGGAAAACCTCCCTTTGTTCCCTCAGTCCTGGTGACAACACAAAATTATTTTCTTTCTCACAAATATTCCAGTTGAAAAAGAAATATAGACCACAAAAAGTATCTCTGTTAATAGCTCTAAATGTTTTTTCCTAGACCAAGAGGCATCATCATTGAGTTAACATTTACTCTAAGCCCACTATATTGTTTATTTGTTTAAGATAGGGTCTTAATATCTAGTCCAAGCTGGTCTCAGAATGCAAGCTGGGACCCTCCTTCCTCAGCCTCCTGAGTGCTAGTAGTACAAGCATGTGGCACTCTACGTGGCATGCACTGTATTTTTTTGCATTCATCATCTTATTTTACCTTACAATGATTTGTTATATTGGAATTATCAATAAAAAGATCAGAGTTTAATGAGGTTGAGTAATTTTATCAGCACCACACAGTAAATAGCAGAACAGATAGTCAAACATATTTCATTTTTTTTTTTTGAGTAGGAAAAATTTATTGAGAGAAAGAAAGCTTCTGTCTAAGAGACACAGAAGGGGAACCAGAAATTGGGTTGCCCACCCACCCCATGTTTCAAAGATGTTTTATACAGCAAAGCCACGTGGTGAGGCAGGTACAAAGTTGGACAAAATTCTAAGACTCAGTGGAAATTTACAAGGTGGGCGTGAGGTGGGACAAAACCATGACCAACTAATAAGATTATAAGTACAGTCACCCAGGTAATATTGAATAAATGGGGGTCGAATGGGGGAGCAAGCCACATAGCAAGCATACAAGGATTTTCAGTAAGGGTGGGGTCAGGGATATTTCCTGGAGAGGCTGGATTAAGAACTTGCCCCCCTACATCCAGGTAATTGATACCTATTTGGAATATCAATCACTGCTATTTATCCCCAGGGGAAGTACAAGGGTGTGCTTTTACAATTCTGGGCTTCAGTGACTGTCTCTTGATTGTCCTCCATGTTGGCTCCTTGACTGTTTTCCATGTTGGCTCCTCCTGGGTTGGCCCTGTCTAACTGCCTACAAGATATCTAATTAAGTTACCTATGTGTAATATTCCCCCCAATGAGGAAGTACCCCTAACTGCTGTGGGGGGGCAAAGGGTGAAGACTGTCATGGCTACATCCAGCTGAAAAGGGTCATAGTGGTGATCAGCAGTTAGAATTCCTCTCCAGAGAGTCTAACTAAAGGCCCTTGATAGGTACCAGACATTGTCATCTTGGTAGCCATTTAACTTTGGGTCTGGAGGAGACAAAGCCAAAGAAACAGTTAATACATGGACCAAATTATAAGATCAGCAGGATTGCTATGAATATAGTCAAGTGTTTTCATTGGGATGAACTAGAAATAGCCTCCCACAAAGAGGTTAATAAGGTCCAGGGGACTTCAGAATCCAACATAGAAGTCCTATTGTATAGTTTACAGTTATGAGTCATTTGCAAGGTCGATCTAGTGGATCCCAGTAGAAGAATTCTAGCGCGTTTATCATTGGTTCCATTTGTATGACTGCTTGGAGTTTGGCAGCCTCTAGGCAAGAATAAACAAAACTTTTAAGAAATTAGAGCATGTATAATCTAAGTATGAGCACACTAGAATGGAAGGGCAGTTTGGGAAGAAAGTGACACTTAGAAATTGAAATAGTCATTGTAACCTGCTGGCTCTTATAGATTTTACCATAGATTTTTTGCTAATGATCCGTAACTTTGGTCATCCACTGGTGTAGTTAGAAACTGCCAGAAGGGGTCAGTGACTGGAGCCCCTTTTTATATCTAGCTTTATTATTATGGCATTGTTTTATACCCCTTTTGGTTATTCTTTTATGCTGGGTATTTAAGACCAAGTTAAAGTGAGACCTGTGTCAATCAGTATGAACCTCTTGATATCTATCAAGGTCAGTTAAGTTTCCTCAGGCATTACTTTGGAACCATGCATAGAGCCTCTCAGCTCCTCTGTCAGTGTCTGCCCTCAGGATGGGTCTTGGCCTTGCTTGACCATGTTACTTTCAGTGAAAGCATGGAAGATTTTTTCCCTCTTGGTGACCCTCCTTTGGCACACAGCACATTTGTCCTCTGGTGCCCAGCAATCTCCCTGCTCAAGAGGTTGAGTGACTTACCAAAGATGTAGGATCCTGTAGAAAATGTTCCCTCATGTCCTGGATGCTTTGTTGACCTTGAGGGGCCAGGGCCAAAATATTGGCTGTCCTCATAACCCAGTTACCTTTCTAGTTTTGGTCTCCAAACTTTAGTTGTTGAACACCCAGAAGAGAAGATCAGTGAGATAAATATTTCAGTAGGAGCAGTGAGCTTAACTATTATAATAGTTAAGACATCAAGCATATTTGAAGTATAAAGCACAGTTAGAGGGCTGTTATTTTTTACCAGCCATGGTTGTTTTAGTAGTTGAATCCTTGTAGAATGTTAACAGACAGCAGTTATATATTATAGGGAAACTTAAGATCAAGACCCACACATAGTATTTTAGCATGACAATCATGATGATGTTGTCTTTGTAACACTTACATGTCTATCTTAGTACAGAATAGTCTTTCGGTCAAACACCTTCATCTGATCACAAGACATTAAATAATATAAAGAACACTCTTATTTGTTATCCTTTAGTAGGACGCCATCTAAAGGGAACATACATAGTGGCCTATAAATGTATTTTAGGAGTTCACAATGTCTAGCCTCTAATTTTAGTGTGACATTGTTTCAGCTGGTGACTGAGCATTCCTAAGCATGGTGACACATGTAACATACATCACATAAGTTTTTAAGATAACTATTGTTTGACTGGTTTTCTCATGCTGGCTTAACATATACCTGTGATCACAAGTAGCTGGAATGTAAGAGAGAGGCAAATCCCTGAATCAAAAAAGATCTTTACCATAAACAATATCTTAGAAGATCTGTACACCCAAAAGACATTAATGATATTTAGTACAACATGAAATAACAATGAATATCAGTTATATGAAAGCCCTTGTCATTTAATTTTGTTTTGTACCCAGAACATTTTAAATAAAACCTTATTGTTTTTCCACAGAAAACTTAGCCCATGACAATGCATACCTATCACAA